ACAATATGGTATTTCTAAAATCAACAACTCATTTTGTAGGCGGTTTAAATTTAGGGAGGAGATTCACACCCTATTAGTTCAAGTGACATATGAAGCTCATGTCTTGCGAATCCTGCACTATCAATGGTATCGATGTGAAACTGTAAAAATTTTATTTTACGCAGATGCAACAACTAAATATTTATTCCTTTGATATGTGACAAAAGAAAAAGAAGGTAAGGAACATGAATGATTTAGACTATCCTTTATTTTTTTGAAAAATTGCACGACGAATAGATGAACCGATCACAAAGGTGTTGAGCATCGCGACAATTCTCTGCGATGCCGATGCGACGAAATTGAGTGATCTGCAAAAATTCATGAAATTTGAATGAATTTCCTCTTTTTTGTTCTACTTCCTTGTGAATTTTTCATTTTGGTAAAGCTAGCTGAATGTAGCTATTTTCGCTTTGACGTACGTCACAATATAAATAAGGCAAGAAGCGGTTTGATATTTGCTAAAGTCATACGTAAATTTGTTGTACATCCCAGAATTTAGGATTCTTGATCCTGATAACCTTCAGAGTTTCTAGAACTCAGGTATAACTATACAATGCTTTTACAATTTCCGCAATAAACATTTCAAAATCGTGTCCTTTCAAGTATATTAACACGAAAGCTTTTTAAATTCCCTCTTGGTTCACTCTTTCTGGTAGCACTCTGGAATGCTGAATCACAGAATTCAATTGCTCAGATATTGCTCTCCTTTTTAATTGTACACTGCGGCTTTCATTTTAGCTCCTTGATGACACAAACACGTCACTACAGTATACCTGATTTGTCGACACCTCCACAGGTTCCAGCAACACAGTCCATAAAACACATTCGCTATAGGGAGGAGTGGTGAGAGATCCTTCGTAGAACACATAGTCCAATTCTAAAGTAATGGAATATGGGTTTCTTTCGTAAGGAATAATGGCTTAAACGGAAGAAATCTTTTTTTCAAATGTTGCGATGATTAACTAACGTTAATAATAAAATTTAAAGCTGAACTCAGCACAGAACTGGATATCTAATATTAGGTTGAGGAATAAGTTCATAGCGTATTTCTATTTTCTTATATTTTCAACAATGTTTTGCTGTTTAACAGAAAGTATAGTAATTTTTCGTTAGAGCATTC